GAGGGGGATGCTTCAGCCCAGCTGGGTTGGAGCACCCTGCGTGTCTGCCGTGCCTTAAGCGGTTAACTGGTTAAGCAATATATTTAACCAGTTAACCCAGGGGTTCTCAAACTTTGTGATACCGCGACCCCCCCAAAATGCTAAATGAATTTGTGTGACCCCCACCCTCACCAAAGTTGTTAAGCAAAAAAAAAAAAGAGGGGGTGGGAGCCAGAGTTGCACCACTTCCAGAGGCAGGCATCCTCAGCGTCGGGAGCCCTGCTCCAATCAAATCTCTCCCCTTCCTCCCACACAGAGCCAGGCACGGAGGAGCAATCTTACTCTTAAAGTGGCTGCTCCTGCCACCTGGCCTGGCTGCCTCAGCTCGCAGCTTGTAGGGGAGGCATCATGGGGCCAGCTGCAACACATGCTCCGCTCCTACCCAACGGCTGCCTCAGCTTGCAGCTTGTAGGGGAGGCATCACGTGGCCAGCTGCCGGTCTCTGCTGCTCGTGTTGCCCAGAGCAGTGCACGCTCCGCTCCCACCCAGTCTGGCATTCCCCTAGCATGGCACCCGGGAAATGCCTCCTCCTGCCCCCCCCCAGACTCTGCGGCGCTCCTCACTCCTCTGGCCCTGCCAGACGCAGCAGGGGAAAACTGCCCCCGCTGGACTTCCGTCCGGTGTTTCATGTTCTTTTTTCCCGGTTGGAGCCCACGGGGAGACACAAATTTTTTCAAGAAAAATAACAGATCCAGTTGCGACCCCCCTGTAAGTTGGTTGCGACTCCCCTGCGGGTTGCAACCCACAGTTTGAGAAACACTTAGTTAACCAATTAACTGGGCTCTTGCGTCCCTAATCCCAGGTCAGTTTCCCTAAGCCAATGGTATTTAAGGGAGTAGTATATCCAGCCGCCTTCCGCTGCCCTAATCTCCTGAATAATTTGGCTGCTGTGTGAACTGGAGATAGAATCATAGAACACTAGGACTGGAAAGGACCTCAGGAGGTGGAGTCCAGTCCCCTGCCCTCATGGCAGGACCCAGCGCTGTCTAGATCATCCCTGATAGACATTTATCTAACCTGCTCTTCAATATCTCCAGACATGGGGATTCCACAACCTCCCTGGGCAATTTATTCCAGTGTTTGACCACCCTGACAGTTAGGAACTTTTTCCTAATGTCCAACCTCAACCTCCCTTGCTGCAGTTTAAGCCCATTGCTTCTTGTTCTGTCCTCAGAGGCCAAGATGAACAAGTTTTCTCCCTCCTCCTTATGACACCTTTTTAGATACCTGAAAACTGCTATCATGTCCCCCCTGAGTCTTCTCTTTTCTAAACTAAACAAACCCAATTCGTTCAGCCTTCCCTCATAGGTCGTTCTCTAGACCTTTCATCATTCTCGTTGCTCTTCTCTGGACCTTCTCCAATTTCACCACATCTTTCTTGAAATGCGGTGCCCGGAACTCGACATAATTCTCCAACTGAGGCCTAACCAGCGCGGAGTAGAGCAGAAGAATGACTTCTCGTGTCTTGCTCACAACACACTTGTTAATGCATCCCGGAATCATGTTTGCTTTCTTTGCAACAGCATCACATTGCTGACTCATATTCAACTTGTGGTCCACTATGACCCCTAGATCCCTTTCTGCTGTTCTCCTTCCCATATAGTCGCTTCCCATTCTGTATGTATGAAACTGATTGTTCCTTCCTAAGTGGAGCACTTTGCATTTGTCTCTATTAAACTTCATCCTATTTACCTCACACCATTTCTCCAATTTGTCCAGGTCATTTTGAGTTATGACCCTATCCTCCAGATTAGTCACAACCCTCCGCAGCTTGCTATCATCTGCAAACTTAATAAGCGTATTTTCTGTGCCAATATCTAAATCGTTGATGAAGATATTGAACAGAGCTGGTCCCAAAACAGACCCCTGCGAAACCCCACTAGTTATACCTTCCCAGCAGGATTGTGAACCATTAATAACTACTCTCTGAGTACGGTTATCCAGCCAGTCATGCACCCACCTCATAGTAGCCCCATCTAAGTTGTATTTCCCTAGTTTATTGATAAGAGCCTTACTAAAGTCTAGGTATACCACATCCACTGCTTCTCCCTTATCCACAAGACTTGTTATCCTATTAAAGAAAGCTATCAGATTGGTTTGACATGATTTGTTCTTTACAGATCCATGCTGGCTGGATGGCCAGATGGCCTTTCAGTGTGAGATCAAATGAGATTCAAAAGCACAACTTTGGGATTGTTGCTGAGTTACCTTTATTGCTCAGCCAGCACACTCCTGTCCTACATGGCAGCTGGGCTGTGGCTGCAGCTGGAAGAAGTGCAGGTGCTGCTGATGTCATCGGAGTCATCTGGCATCTCTCGGGGTTAGGAAGAGGATGGTCTGGGGGTGGCAGCCATGAGACTCAAGCTTACTCTTTCCTCTTTCTTCAGTCAAAGTTGCAGTTACAGTTGCTTCCTCCTTATTTTTCCCCAAAAGCCTTTTCCTTTAAGGCCTCAAGAGGACCCTTTGGTAGAATGCCCATCCTCTTGTTGTTTGTTTGCCAGTAAGGTCTAACTTCTGACATGCCAATGGTGGGTATTGATTTCTGGTGTCTCACTCTTGTTTACCAGGCATGACTTTTAGTCTAGTTCTGGAATGGCAGGGTTTAGGAGCAAGGAGCCTAGTGCTGTGATGTGGTCCCCTTCCTTGGCCTTAGATGGAAAGGGGCCTAGAATTAAAACACCTTTTCCCCCTGAAAAAGACAATTCCAGGGAAACTAGCACAACCCAGCTTCCGGTCTGAGTAGGAATTTGATCACTTGGCATTATCAACGCTTCTTTGCAGCCATTGCCCCGGGAGGTTTCCTGGTCCGTTTGGCACCGAGTTCTCAAGCTATGCCAGCCACGCTCCAAGTCCCCATTCATGGGGATGCGCACAAGGTCTCTTCAGGTGCTGAGTACAAGATGGATGACACTGGAACTTCACTAACCCTAAGTGAAAAATATGCCCCTGGAGGGTCTGAGGAGTTTCCTGAACATCCGCTCGAAGCAGAAAAGAGGGTTATAAAGGCTCGGCTGGTCCGAGAAACCACCTGAACAGAGGTCACTGCTGCACCCTAACTTGGGATCCATCTCTTAAATCCTGAACCCCGATAGCAAACTAAAGTGCTGAAACTGCTGATTAACAGTCAGGTGCCTCAGCAGCTAACAAGTCTCTCTCCCATTTTGATTGACTCAAAGGTCCAGTTGCTCATACACTTGCTCTGCTGCAGGCAATTTGATGTATTCAGGGTATGTGAGGATAGGTGGGTGCCTCTCCAATCGAGGGATGCAGTCTGAGGCGCACACAGTCTGTAAAGGGTCAGCGGGAATCCAGGCTGCAACACCCCGACTAGGCCGGTGGATCAGCAGGGATCCGAACTACAACGTGCCGAGTAGGTCTGTGGGTCAGCGGAGATCCAAGGCACAACGTGCTGCCCACCCAAGCTCCATCTTCTCAGCTGCCCCGGGGTCAGCTATTCCTGGGCCACTTCCCAGTTCTCCCTAGGGGCCTACCAGGCTCAGGTGTTGCTCCTCGGGGTCAGCTGGGAACAGAGGTGCTAGCAGGGTGTCCAGGGGTTCCAGCTCAGGGAGGGGCCCAGGCAGACCAGTTCAATCATCGGGGCCTGGCGGGGGGTCCCGGAGGGCTCAGCATGTTTTCAGGTGTGACAGTGGTCTTAGCAGCCTGGGCCGGAGATTGGGGGCCGGCAGGGGTCCTGGTGGCCCAACCCAGTCATCCTGTTGGATGCAGTGCGGCTAGGGCCGAGTGTCTAGCCTGTTCAGCTGCTGGGCTCTGACTGAGCTCTCAGCTCTTATCCTCCTCGTAGTCCCAAATGCCGGCTTCCTGTGGGCAGGGCTAGGGGAGGCTGGACCTGCCCACCAAGGAGTCTTAGAGGGTACTTTCTCTTCTGGGTCAGAGAGGGAGGGCATGTTGCTGTCGCAGATTCATTACGCAGTCTAATTCTGCAAGAAGTGGAATGGCATGCGGTGAGTGTGGGAGGGTTTTCTTGGTTGGGGCTTCTGCATGTTGATATGTGACTGACTCTCCTAAAGCACATGTACCTCATTAACTGTGCCCACCAAGGAGTCTTAGAGGGTACTTTCTCTTCTGGGTCAGAGAGGGAGGGCATGTTGCTGTCGCAGATTCATTACGCAGTCTAATTCTGCAAGAAGTGGAATGGCATGCGGTGAGTGTGGGAGGGTTTTCTTGGTTGGGGCTTCTGCATGTTGATATGTGACTGACTCTCCTAAAGCACATGTACCTCATTAACTG